TTTACATACCTTACAACAGTGTAAAGGGTTGCCTTTAACCTGATGTTACCTCGCCACATGCAGTTTCCTAAAACTCTGAGAGCAGCTTTTTGAATAATTCTTATATGGTGACCTTCGTTTCATTAGCCTTTTTTTTTTCTTCTCGACACCCTCAATACGTTATCCGTTATCTAGCAAAAGGTTTATAAGACTGCAATAACGTATCAGCTTGAGGACGTTGCCTTAACAAACACAACTTTTTATCAGCTTCTTAGTTTTAAAGGAAATGCATCGAGGCTGGAGGGGAGAATTTTTGGTGATATCTCGGGGATCTGGACTGAAGTTCTATCTTTTTTATTTCATTTTTCTACCTTGATAATTGTGCATCGTTTACCGAAAAGGAGTTTTATCTTGCAAACGCAAAAGGCAACTGGTTTGTGAACTTTGTTTTCACGGAAATATTTCCGAATCTCTCCATTTTTCCATCTTGAAACTTAATTTCACCTAAAAATTCAAGTTACTTGATTGCAATTTGTGTGGCGTAAACAATTGAGCTGTCGTCATTCAACTATTGCCTCTTTTTTCTTTTTCTACTCAAGAAAGAAATTATTCCAGGTTTGTTTTCTCTTGAGTAAAGGCTCTGTAAAGCAAGCCTCAGAAACTACATCGGTCACTTGATCATCCCCTCTCCACTTCTAATAAACCCATTATATTTAATTTAACCCCTTGACTACCAGAAATGATTAACATGTAACTTCTCCTTACAATACCCATACATTATCCAGCAAAATAGTAATGAGGATACTCAAGCTTATCAGTTAGAAGTTGTTTTCTTTTGAGTATGGCCTGATCACTAATATAATCTCCCCCTACATTCCAGGGCCATCTTGGTTAGTGAGAGAAAACCTAATTTCCCCTTATTTAGCCAAATCACTTCCACAAGCTTTGCATGCAGCTTGCTATTGCACATTTAACAAAGTTTTATAAGTACCAAAAACAGTTGCTCTGCAAAATAATGACAAAGAAAGATTTAAGGTCTTTCTCTTTACCATAAATTCTTACTGCTGTTTGTTCCATCTTGCTTTGGACTACCAAAGCTATATGACATGTCAAAGACATTAATTTGAAACTCTTAGTTTAAATTTATTTTTCTTTTTGCAAGTTTTTTTTCCTGTCAGTTTTCACCAGTTGAGATAATTTTGCCCCAATAATTATACCATGTTTGCTCCAACCTTTACTAGTGCAACCCCAAATATTCAATTCATTCCAAACAGTGGAAACTTTAACTGAAAGCTGTGAAGAATAAAGCTGGGGATAAAAAATATCTGTAACACTGTTGTGGTGATTATAAAGATGTGTGCACTCTGATTGGTAGAGGATTGTGACATTTCTTGCTATAATCAACTTGTGCCAGGTGATTACAGCAAGGGGGCTTAATTTCAAAATGGCCACCTCATGTTTTGTCAGAAGAGTGATTTACATGAGGACGGGAACGTCAGTTGACAATGACGTGCACAGCAAAAATATCGGTAAGAAACTAAGTCAAGAACGTCGTCTCATTGTGTCTCAAAAGTGACATAGCAGCCGTTGCAATGGACCGTCAATGTTGTGTTTGTTCTTAAATATCCTAACCTCAGCTCTTTTAAGATCGCCATCACCTTTGAACTATCAGTTTTAAAGACCATCCTAAGGACAACAAAATTATCTTCTTTGAGAGTTATGTAACAAGTACAAACAGAGCATATATATGTAGAGGCTGCATGTAAGTTGTTAATATGAATCCACATGGGCGATTAGACTTTGAAATTATTCCATCCCAGTTTAGTCTCGAGTCTACTGATTCATCTATCAAATTTTGATATTTTATTCTCAAATTTTTTATATGATGAGTTCCTGTTTAACCATGAGCAAATGAAGTGTACTCAAACTAGTCACCAACAAAACGGCTAGACTTAGGAATAATATAAGACTTTGTTCCCATTCTATTTTTTTTGTTGTTTAATTTTTTTTCCTTTTAAGAATAAAGTTGATCAAGTCTGAATCAAATTAGTAGATTTAGAAAGCCATGCTACAATCAAGTTGATTGTCATTTTCTTTCATAGGGAGAGCATGACTTTCTTGTCTTAGTTTTCACCAGTACTGATAAAAAATTTAGGACATTAAAAGTGCAAACCCGAGCTATTCTCAAATTTTTTATCTCTGCCTCCAATTTGCAGAACATTTTTTAATTACGTTAAAAACGATAATGACAACAAATAACACTGAATAATACAGTAGGTAAACTTTGTGATATTTCATTTTAACAAACTTCAACATGAAGCAAGTTTAATTTATCGATGAATTAATTTACAATGAAATTAACAGCATCCCATTTGTAGAGTTTTCATTCAGGGTTAAAGAAATTTATCAAAGGAAAGCCCTTACATTGTTTAGAGCCTTGCTCAATTAAAAGCAACCTGAGCCCTGAAATCTTGGATGGCTTGCTAACAATCATGTTTCCTTTTGGGAATCCAGAATAAATGTAGTGGTAAATTTTCACAAACACACCAAATAAAACAAAGAAAGGGACTTGGTTATTCTGGAAATGAGTTCTGAAATCATTCCAAACAGCATTATCTCATTTATAAGAGCACAATTTACACAAATCTCAGCTGTTTTGATCACGACGGGAAAACCAGTGAAATGACGTCCTGAACTTGTTGGGGAGAATGGCAACACTAACACCGAAAGTCGAAATAGAGTCATGTCTAGATTATCTGTGCACTTTCCCATTCTGAAATGACGTTCCCACCCTCTTGCTAAATCACTCTAGTGTTACCAAGGAACTAATACCCATGATAGAAGAAAACTTAAGAGAGTGTCTCTGTAAGAGCGGTCCGGTCGATTCTGCTTGAGACACGGATTTCGCTCATTTCTTGTGTGTTGTAAGACATTCATGTACCTATACTAAAACCACAATCCGTTTGATCGGATCTCTTTATCTTTCAGAGTTTTACGGAAATTAAATTTCACTCGAGCGAAGGCTTGTCGTGACACTTTTCAAGACTTTAATTTATGACAACTTTGAAGGACAATTTACAAAAAACTACGGAACTTAGCAAAAAATAAATACCAAAGCCATGTATATTAACTCTATCTTATTCATCGAGGCGACTTTCGTGCACATCACGTTTCAATCAAGGAAACAGGAAGACTTGAATGACACCTTATCTGTTCGCTTAAGTCACACATGCCAAAACCGATC